ATTATTAATAAATTGTTGATGATTATTATTATTATTATTATTATCATTTAGAAATAGATCTGGTCGTTGTTCAGCATCAATAAGTAAACTTTGTTTAAGATAAATAGGTAAATATTTAATGATATTATCAAGCCATTTTGTATAAAGTTCTTCTTCATATTCTTTAAGCACAATGCCTGTTTCTATAAATCGATTTTTTGCAGTTACACCTTGTTCTGATTGAAGTAATCGATTAACAGAACGAAATTTAATCATTGGAAGTTTTATACGTGTAAATAAAAAACGAGCCCATTGAATAGCACCAGCAATAGGTGGAAAACCCTAACAAAATTTTTTTTTTCGATATTATTATGGTATCAACAATTCGAAATTTTAGTAATAAATATTTTAGTGTTTCCTTGTCACGGTTAGATACAGCTCGTCGAGTTAAAAAAAAAGATCCCATATTTTTTGAAAAATAGTGTCAATGATGGTAATTATTGCCTTTATCTTTCGTTTGGTAGCAGGACGAAGACGATATATGGTAGAATGGTGTCCGACCTAGTGCACTGTTAGTTACGCAAGTAATTTTCTCCTTACAATAGTGTAGAAAGCCCTAGTTGATATCTGATTTTTTTTCCCCTTCAATCGTTCGGACAACACCATGTTGAGAACTTAATATTCAGTGTAGAATAATAAAACTGAATTTAATTTTATGTTAAATTAAACGGTCTGTCCCTAAGCAAAACACTATAAATACGCGTTCATAGTCAAAGGTCTTTACCATTAGAACTTCATTACCAAAAGAAATGAATCTCATATTGAGAATCAGCAAGAAAATCAACATCAAATAATGTTTTCAATATTCGAAAACCAGTTGTCGTAACAATTTCAATCTTAAGATAAACACAGATTGGAGTATTCGAAAACAACTGTAAGGGGATTTACGAATCACAATTTGATGAAAATTAGTTTTGAGTATGTAGTAAAATAAAAAAGAAATATATTTGAATAAATATTAAGACTACCGAGACATTATGTTTTTAGTGTATAGGTAACTCGACGAGCTCTATCGGGAATATCAAAAAATTTGCTTAAATTTCGAATAGTCAGTGCTTTACATGAGAAAATAAAAAGTTAATATTTACTTTAAATATGGGTGGATTATCTTTATATTTAATAAAAA